GGAAGACTGTCCTAATGTTGAGCTCAACTTTAATCCTCTATAACTTCGGCTTTTCGAGAAGTTTTCGAAGATTCGTGACGGTCAAAAAACTATTAGAGAGGTGGCTTTCTGAAATCGTAAAGAGTCCATTCTCCGTCATAGGTGACGATGCATACCGATAGCTACGTAGTTTTTTCTTACATGTTAAATATGTGTGTAAACTACCACTTGGGAAGATCGGTGTTTACTGCTATGCTTCAGTCCGCTCAGCCACGGCTGTTCAGACTTTTTTCAACCTCTCAGTTGTCCTCCAGGAGCAGAATACTTAATAACTACCTACTTCTTGCTATATGCCGAGTTATTCTAGAACGATTTCTACGAGAACCTTCAGAAGGCCGTCGTCAACAGCAAAGGCACGCTCATGACTCCCCTCAACTTCACTATGGAATTCTTCTAAACCGAAACTTTGGAGCCAAGGCTGTGCTGCGCTTCTGGAGGTGCTTCTTCGGCCCCATCTTTCAATGTTACTTCGACAGGTCTAAGGAGCACTACGTCAGAGTTTCAGCACATCGAAGAAAACTTGCCCAAACCACTGTATTGACACCTTCAGTTCAACTCTATAAAAAACCCCAATATAACAAGTAAAACTGAAATTCAAATTCACTGGAGGAAAGAAGATAGAATATGCTTGCCAGTGATGACATCTAAGGCTTTGAGTCTCAAAGAAAGTTTCAGTATAAAAATATTCCAAGTATGTAAGGCATCTCAAAACCAGCATAACTTTCCGAACAACCTAATATTTCCCCTTCTTCGGTAAAATTTATTGTCTCCTGTCATCAAGCTTACACCGCTGGATCTGTTAATTATTAATAGACCTGTCTGGAAAAAAGGAGGTCAATGCGAACATTGGCTGGCCGTCGTAATCCATTGTGCCAACCTCTAGATAATAATTTGCAAGGCCAACTGGTTCTGGTTGAATCGCCTACGCTGAAAACAGTGGAGGCATTTCGTCGCGCTGTTTTCCTCTCACTGCGACATTCTTTTGCTGTTCACGTCACGTTGCTCGTCAGCGTCTAACCCAACATTTTTACCTGCAACTTACCAAGCAAAAAATACTGTGAATAATTTACGCAGACAAGGCGACTTCCCGGATTCACGAGAGTGTTGTTCAATCAATTAGAAGGCGTAAAACAATCAGTCAACTGCTGAAGATCATGATCATCCGCTTTGCACTCGTGTGGATAATCTTCTGAGGAAATCTGATGGCGCTCAAGGGGTGTGAGCACTAATCCGCTTTTTGCCTGTCCGCTGTTCGCTGTGGAACACCGATTACCAGCTGAATTATTTTTCCTACAGATATGTTTTTGTCTCCTCTTTCTCTAGTTATAACCATGCAATCAAAGGAATAGTTCACGGAAAAATCATGATTTTATCTAACCCATAAATTACTTGTTTGAAAGTGTTTGTTTTCGTAAAAAAATTCGAAAAACCGGGAATTATGTTTGTAATGCTTAAATTCCCACCGTACATCTGTCACAAATGTCGGCGACGGGCAGATTCCACATGGTTCTCGGAGTCCTTCACTTTTGCCCATTTCCACCTATGGCAATGATATTTCGCTTTTCTAGTGCATCCTATTCTTTGAATCATTTGATCTATATTCTCATATGTTACCATTTATTATCCAATTATCCAATATTCAAACGTTTCAGCCCGATTCTTCTAATACGTCGCCTGATACGTTCCGTTGTTCCCGCCTCACCTACCCTCGACCGTCCATAGGTTTTCATCAGTTGGTTTCTCTTTGGAAATCAGTCTTATTGCGTGAAATATTGTACATTCCTCTAGTGATCACAGCCGAAGTATTGGGAACGAATGCAAGACTTTTTTTTGAACAATTCTTTAACGCAAAAGAATGGTCAGTGTCTCGATTCTTGAAACTTCCGCAGAACGGCAAAATTAACAGAAGTGAGTTGATCGATACCGTTGAAATACGCCTGAGGTTCGCCTTCCATTCAAAATTGTAGAAGCATCTGAATGTGTTAATTTTTATATCCCTACATATACGTACCGAAGCCTGCTCTCCAGGAACCATTTCAAGGAATTATTCAGGGAACTTAGGGAACTTCTGCTCTTTTATGTAATTTCTCCTGGAAGGTTTCAAGTTTTCA